GGGTGGCAGGATCTGGTGGCCTTGAATCACAGGATTTGATGGCTATGAGTGGCAGGATGTGGTGGTGGCTACCAGAGGCAGAATCTGGTGGCCATGGGTGGCAGGATCTGGTGGCTGCTGATGTCAGGATCTGCTGTCCATGAATGGCAGAATCTGGTGGCCATGGGTGACAGGATCTTGTGGCTTTGGTTCTTGGGACCTGTTGGCCATTAATCACAGAATTTGATGGCCATGAGTGGCAGGATCTGGTGGCCATAGGTGTCCAGATGTGGCCACAGGTAGCACCGAGCCACCGTACCCAAGCTGGGGCAAGGTGGGTCTAGGTTGGCTCCGTGGCCAAAAGCTCCTCTCTGTGGTCACCACCAGAAGCTCCAGCCTCACCCAGCTCCTGGCTGGACGTGATGGCATGCGATCCAAGCTTACCCCACAACGCAGCACCCGGGCTTGTGGGATCCAGGGCTCAGCCTTCCTGCAGTCCTCAGGAAATGGCCGGGAGCTGAAAATCACCATTGCAGGAACTCGTTGCCATGCTCACCAAGATTAAGCCGACCTCCTGCTGCTCTGCCGTTGGAGGAAATGTCACTGCTGGTCTCACAGCGCGCTTCTTCTCTCCTCCCTCTCATAAAAAAAGAAACACAAAACGACAGAAGAAACCGTGGAACCATGGAAAATAAATCCTCTCTTCCGTTGGTGGCATTTGGGTTGCAGACGGCGATGGGATTCGTCACCCATCTGGTGGGGACTGCGGCCTCAGGGAGCCCTGTGAGCTCATCACAGTGTTTTCTCATTCCCTGGAGACCACAGAATCCGTTTTCTGACGGATTTCTTGTCCTCAATGCCAGGTTGGGCTGCGGAGCCAACCTTCACCCAACGCTCCACTCAATAGAATGTTCAGAAGCCGCTGCTATTTCACCTGAAAAACAGCAGATTTTCATCCAAAGCAGGAAGGCTTGTTATCTCCCTCCCCTCTTGCTTGTCCCCCTTTTGTCTTGGTTTTCTCTGCTTCGTTTGCTGCTGCTGCTAATTGGAGGGAGCGGCTTTTTGAGGAGACGAGAAGCCAACCAGCAATAATACCTGGTGTAGAAACCTGGTGTTTCGTGGACCTTTGCAGCTCTGACACTGAAAGTGTGGTCAGGAAAAGTGATTTGGGCTTCACCCGCAGCGGACATCGTCCTGTTTTGGTTTTGACGTGGTGAATTCTGTCCTTCTGTGCGTCCTTTGGTCACATCATCGGCGAAATTTCAGGTGGAGAGCAATGATGTTGAGTGCAGAGGAGCACCAGGGGACCCTGAACCAAAGCCTACAGCTCTGGGGTGTTTATAATCCTGCGTGAACACATCCTTGAGAACGGCAGCATCGCAACCAAAGTGCAGCAAAGCCTTAAAATGGGTCTTTCAGCCCATCTCCCCACGGATCGATTTCGATATCAATTAGCAAAGCACGCAGTTCTCCGGTGACTGTTCTGGTGCCAGGACCTTGGAACAATCCGGTGGGTTCCTGGGATGCTTGGCGTGGTGGTGGCACAGGGATGGGCAGCCGACGTCCCGCTCTCTTGGTGGTGGGATTCAGGGTGGTTTGGCACGGGATGGGAATCCTAAAGGGATGGGAGAAGCCACAGGGGGGGAAGGTGAGGAAGAGCGTGGGGCAGAGCGATGCGGTGGGGGCAGCGCTGGTGGGGAGATGGGGGTTCAGTGGGGAGGGAGGTGGGAAAAACGAGGGAGGTGTTGGAGCGGTTGGGGTCGTGTTGAAAGAACTGGGATCAGGTTGGAAAAGTTGGGGTTGTGGGAAAGTTGGGGTCACATTGGAAGAGTTGGGATTGAATAGGAGAAATCGGACTCGTGTTGGAAAAGTCGGTGTTGTGTTGGAGAAGTTGGGGCCTCGCTGGAGAAATCGGGGTTGCGTTGGAAAAAATGGGGTTTTGTTAGAGAAATTGGGGTTGCATTGGGAAAAATTGGGGCTTTCTTAGAGAATTTGGGGTTGCAATGGAAAAATGGGGGATTTCTTAGAGAAATTGGGGTTGCATTTGAAAAAGTGGGGTTTTCTTAGAGAATTTGGGGTTGCATTGGAAAAAATGGGGGCTCTCTTAGAGAAATTGGGGTTGCTTTGGAAAAATGGGGGCTCTCTTAGAGAAATTGGGGTTGCTTTGGAAAAAATGGGGGCTTTCTTGGAGAAATTGGGGTTGCATTGGAAAAATAGAGGCTTTCTTGGAGAAACTGGGGTTGCATTGGAAAAAATGGGGTTTTGTTAGAGAAATTGGGGTTGCATTGGAAAAAATGGGGGCTTTCTTGGAGAAATTGGGGTTGCATTGGAAAAATGGGGGATTTCTTGGAGAAATTGGGGTTGCATTGGAAAAATGGGTGCTTTCTTGGAGAAATTGGGGTTGCATTGGAAAAAATGGGGGATTTCTTGGAGCAGTTGGGGTTGCAATGTAAAAATGGGGTTTTCTTAGAGAAATTGGGGTTGCATTGGATAAACTGGGGTTGTATTGGAAAAATTGGGGTCACTTGGAGAAATTGGAGTTGCATTGAAGAGATTGGAGTTATGTTGGAGAAACTGAGATTGCATTGGGAAAAATGGTGTTGTGTGGGAAAAATGGGGGTTGTATTAGAGAAACTGGGGTTTTGCTGGGAGCGTTGGGGTTGCGTGAGATAAATTGGGGTCACAGTGGAAGAGAACGGGTCGTGATGAAGAAATTGGGGCTTTATTTGGAGAAATGGGGGTTATGGTGAAAAAAAATGGTGTTCTGTTAGAGAAACTGTGGTTGAAGTGGAAGGAGCAGGGTTGTGTTGGGGAAGCTGGGGTTGCATTGCGAGTGTTGGGGTCGCACTGGAGAAATTGCAGTCACGTTGCAAAAATGGGGCTTCCTACTTTTGGGGAGAAGAAACCCATGGCCAACAGAGGCCTTAGAGCTGCACGTGTTGGGCACAAGCCGCTGCCTCGCCATGGTGGCACCGCACAGCATCCATGAACGTTGTCCTCCAGGTTTTTCTGCTGCAAGTTGCACCTTTAGTACAGATTTCAACCCCAGAGGCAACGGTGGTGCAACCCAAGAAGACGCCGGGTGCACGGTGGATGTTGTGTGAAACCCTTTCCCCCGATGCCCTTCCGAAAGGCTCTTCTTGCCCCTCTTCTCAAATCCTGAAGGTTTCTCAGCATGTTGGAAGCCGGTTCTTTGGGATGAAGAGCGTGGAGTTGGCAGGAGCATTGGGATCAAGGAACTGGAAGGATCTTTGGGATCCAGAGGTCCTGGTCGTAAAAACGCTGCAGGATTCACCCAGTCGGTCGCCTCGTGGCTGAGATTGCGGTTCAAGGGGAAACGGTTCCTGCACTCGGGATGTGGGATTCGGGTTTCTGCAGAACGTGGGGCTGTGCTTTGGTGCTGCCTGAGGATGCCCCGATGCTTTGGGTGGGGGTGGAAGTCGCAGGGGTCATCGAAGCACTCCGTGTGGTCGAGTTTGGGCAGCGTTGGTCCTCTTGGAGGCATCTTCGTGTTTAGTGCCTCCTCTGGCCCTGTGTGTGGTGTTTTGATGGGAATTGTCGGGTCGGTGATGACCGAAGGGATGGGAATGGGGGGGGGGGGGGGGGGGGGAAAAGGAGAAAAACGAAGGGTGGGGGTGGGTGGGGTTTGGGGGGGGGGGGGAGGGGCTGGAGGGGAGAGGAGGGGGGGTGAAACCCCCCCACACAAAGGAGTCAACAGCCGAGTGGTGGAGGTGAGGTTTTGGGGAGAGGGAGGAGGAGATGCTGGGATGCAGAGGAGGGATTCAACCTGGGCTGAGTGGGAGAATCGATAGGGTTGGAGAAGGCCTCCAAGATTCCCAAACCCAACCCCAGCCCACCCTGCTGACCACGTCCCCACGTGACACATCTCTACGGTTCTTGAGCCCCTGTAGGGATGGTGACCTCTTCACGATCCCGCGCAGCCCATGGGGTGCATCACTGCTCCTTTGGAGAAGAAATTTTCCCCAATATCCAACCCAACTTTCCCCAGATGGACACCCACCCCATTGCTTGTCCCCATTGGACAGCTGAGCTGACCCACAATCACAAATTGGACGCGGTTGGATGTTCCTACTGTCCCGCAACTGGCGGGCTTGGAGATCTCCAGGAAGACACCCCGACCCCTTTAATCCCCAAAGGCTCCTATGGGGTCATCCTCACCCCCCTCCCACCCTTTTACTCGCAGGACGTCCTCGCTGCGCTGGAACGCCGGCACCAAGGAGCGGATGCTGATCAAGGTGACGGACCGTGAGCCCAGCTTCCTGCTGCACCAGGGCAACGGCTTCGGCCCCGACGCCGCCCCGTCCGCTCGCTCCCGCCGCCCCTCGGGGGGTCAGCAGTCCCCCAACCTGCAGAGCTTCGCCCCCGACGCCGACAACTCCGTCTTCTTTCCGGAGAGGAAACCTTCGCCCTACCTGAAGAGGGCTGAGCTGGCTGGGAGCTGCTCGCCTCTGCTGGGTCGGGGCGATTCTTTCTGCTCCCCGCTGCAGAGCCAACACCACCGCAAAGCATCGAGCGAATCGCAGCCCTCATCGCCGCGCTACGCCTACGAGCCGCCGCTCTACGAGGAGCCCCCCATGGAGTACCAAGCGCCCATCTACGACGAGCCCCCCGTGGACATGCAGTACGAAGCCGGCGGGGGCTACAAAGCCGCTTCCCCCCAGAAATCGCCCATCCGGAAGCCTCACCCCTTCCTCCAGTCACCCAAGCAAGGCTCCAACTCGCCCTACCAGCAGCTGGTGCTCACCAAGCAGAAGTGCCCCGATCGCTTCATGAGCCTGGAATACAGCCCGGCGGGCAAGGAGTACGTCCGCCAGCTGGTCTACGTTGAGCAGTCGGGCTCCAGCCCCAAGATGAAATCGGGGCCACGCCACAAATACTCCCCCAACCCCATCGGGGGCTCCTACTCGCTGCAGCACAGCCCGTGCCTCCTCCGCGAGCAGCGCGCCGACCTCAAGTCGGGCGACTACAGCAGCATGGAGGCGGCCGACTTCTGCCCCGACGACTCCATGTCGTGGTCCAGCCAGCAGGACACCATGTCCTCCACCGGCTACTCGCCCTCCAACAGGAAGAGGAAGAGCCGAAAGCCTTCGCTGCCCCACCACGAACCCAGCACTCCGTCGGCGGAAGGGGAGCGGGACGGGGCGGAGGAGGAGCGGTGCGGATCCGCGCGCGCCCAACTCAACCGCGCTGAGAGCAAAGCGGTGGAAGCAGAGGGGGAAGCGGCGAGGGGCTTTGCTGAGCCCTTCCTGGCGCAAGCACGCCTGGCCTGGGAGGCTCAGCAAGCCCACTATCACATGAAGCAGCGCAGCAGTTGGGATTCCCAAAAGGACGGATCGGGCTACGAGAGCGACGGGGCTCTGCCGCTGCCCATGCCGGGCCCCGTGGTGCGCGCCTTCAGCGAGGACGAGGCGCTGGCGCAGCAGGACAGCAAGCACTGGAAGAGGAACACCTTTGAGAAGTTGGGTTTCCCTCAGATCCTGCTGGAGAAGAGCGTCTCCGTGCAGACCAACCTGGCGTCCCCCGAGCCCTACCTGCATCCGTCGCAGGTAACCAGGGGGGAGCGGCCCGGGCGTCTGGGGGTTGTTCTCAGGGTTCAGGGGTGGCCCTGAGTGGTTGGGGTGACCCGGAGCGTTTTGGGGAATGTCCCTGGTGTCTGGGGGTGTCTTTAGGTTTTAGGGGTGTCCCTATTGGTTGGGGATGTCCACCGGTGTTTGGGGTACCCCTGGTGTTCGGGGCTGTCCTCAAGAGTTTGGGACGTCCCTGGTGGTTGGGGATGTCCACAAGTGTTTGGGGTGTTCCTAGATTTTGGGGCTGTCCCCAAGCATTTGGGGTGTCCCTGGTGTTTGGGGCTGTCCTCAAGAGTTTGGGACGTCTGTGGAATGTCCTTGTTGGTTGGGGATGTCCACAAGTGTTTGGGGCGACTGTGAGTGTTTGGGAATGTCCCTGGTGTCTGGGGGTGTCTTTAGGTTTTAGGGGTGTCCCTGGATTTTGGGGATGTCCCCAATATTTGGGGTGTCCCTGGTGTTTGGGGCTGTCCTCAAGAGTTTGGGACGTCCCTGGAATGTCCCTGGTGGTGGGGGATGTCCACAAGTGTTTGGGGTGACTGTGAGTGTTTGGGAATGTCCTTGGTGTCTGGGGGTGTCTTTAGGTTTTAGGGGTGTCCCTGTTGGTTGGGGATGTCCACAAGTGTTTGGGGTGTCTCCTGGTGTCTGGGGGAGTCCTTGGGATTTGGGGTTGTCCCTGGTGGTGGGGGATGTCCACAAGTGTTTGGGGTGACCGTGAGTGTTTGGGAATGTCCCTGGTGTCTGGGGGTGTCTTTAGGTTTTAGGGATGTCCCTATTGGTTGGGGATGTCCACAGGTGTTTGGGGTGCCCCTGGTGTTTGGGGCTGTCCTCAAGAGTTTGGGACGTCCCTGGTGGTTGGGGATGTCCACAAGTGTTTGGGGTGTCCCTGGATTTTGGGGATGTCCCCAACATTTGGGGTGTCCCTGGTGTTTGGGGCTGTCCTCAAGAGTTTGGGGTTGTCCCTGTTGGTTGGGGATGTCCACAAGCGTTTGGGGTGTCCCTGGATTTCGGGGCTGTCCCCAAGTGTTTGGGGTGCCCCTCATGTTTGGGGGCTGTCCTCAAGAGTTTGGGCCATCCCTGTTGGTTGGGGATGTCCACAAGTGTTTGGGGTGTCTCCAGGTGTCTGGGGGAGTCCTTGGGGTTTGGAGTTTTCCCTGTTGGTTGGGGATGTCCCCAAGTGTTTTGGGTGTCCCTGATGGTTGGGGAGAACCTGAGTGCTTGGGAGCATCTCCAGCATTTGGAACACCCTTGGAATTTAGGGTGCCCCCAAATTTTAGGGGTGTCCTTGGTATTTGGGGTTGTCCCTGGTTGTTTGGAAACATCCTTCGTGGTTGGCTGTCTCCCCCAACGTTTCCAGCATTTGGGAACACCTCTGGTATTTGGGGTTGTCCCCAACATTTGGGGGTGCCCGTGGTGTTTGGGAATGTCCCCACTATTTGGGGGTGTTCCTGATGTTTGGGTCGTTCTCCATCCTATGACTTTCTCCAGCCTTTCACTCTCCTCATCCTATGACCTTCTCCATTCTGTCACCTTCTCCATTTTATGACCTGTTCCATCTTATCACCTTCTCCACCCGATGTCCTTCTCCACTTTATGACCACCTTCATTTTATTATCGCCTCCATTTTATGACCTCCACTAATGACCTCTTCCATCCTATGAGCTCCTCCACCCTATGACTTCCCCCGCCCCATAAGATTTATCATCCTATAAGCTTCATCATCCAATGACCTCCTCCATCCTATGACTTCCTCCATTTTAGGATCTCCTCCATCCTATAACCTTCTCCATCCTATGACCTCCTCCACCCTATGACCTCCTCCACCCTATGATCTCCTCTACCCTTTGACCTCCTGCACCCTATGATCTCCTCCACCCAATGATTCCTTCTGCCTGGTGAGCTCCTCCATCCTATAACCTCCTCCATCCTGTGACCTCGTCAACCCTATGACCCTCTCCATCCTATAACCTTCTCCATCCTATGACCTCCTCTATCCTACAACCTCCTCCATCCGATGACCTCCTCCATCTTGTGACCTTGTCCACCCTATGACCCTCCTTCACCCTATTACCTCCTCCACCCTATGATCTCCTCCACCCTGCGATCTCCTCTGTCTGATGCCCTCCTCCGCCGTAGGACCTCCTCCATCCTATAACCTTCTCCATCCTGTGACCTCCTCTATCCTACGACCTCCTCCATCCAATGAGCTCTTCCATCCGATGACCTCCTCCACCCTATGACCTCCTTTACCCTATAACCATCTCCATCCTCCTACCTCCTCCAACCTATGACCTCGTACACCCTACAGCCTTCTCCATTCTACGACCTCCTCCACCCTATGATCTCCTGCACCCTATGATCTCCTCCACCCTGCGATCTCCTCTGTCTGATGTCCTCCTCCGCCTTATGACCTCCTCCACCCTATGACTTCCTCCACCCTGTAAGATTCTTCATCCGATGACCTCCTCCATCCAATGACCTCCTCCATCCTATGACCTTGTCCACCCTATGACCCCCTACACCTTATAACCTTCTCCATCCCATGACCTCCTCCACCCTTTGACCTCCTCCACCCTATGATCTCCTGCACCCAATGATCTCCTTCACCCAATGATCTCCTCTGTTTGATGACCTTCTTCACACTTTGACCTCCTCCACCCAGTGATCTCCTGCACCCAATGATCTCTTCTGTCTGATGAGCTCCTTCACCCTATTACATCCTCCACTCTATGATCTCCTGCACCCTATGACCTCCTGCACCCAATGATCTCCTTCACCCAATGATCTCCTTCACCCAATGATCTCCACCCAATGATCTCTTCTGTCTGATGAGCTCCTCTACCCTTTGACCTCTTCCACCCTATGATCTCCTTCACCCAATGACCTCCTGCACTCGATCTCCTGCACCCAATGATCTCTTCTGTCTGATGAGCTCCTTCACCCTATTACGTCCTCCACTCTATGATCTCCTGCATCCTATGACCTCCTGCACCCAATGATCTCCTGCACCCAATGATTTCCTTCACCCTTTGAACTCCTTCACCCTCTTGATCTCCTTCACCCACTGATCTCCACCCAATGATCTCCTCTGTCTGATGAGCTCCTCCACCCTTTGACCTCCTCCACCCTATGACCTCCTCTACCCAATGATCTCCTGCACCCAATGATCTCCTGCACCCAATGATCTCCTCTGTCTGATGACCTTCTCTACTCAATGACCTCCTGTACCCAATGACCACCTGCACCCAATGATCTCCTGCACCCAATGATCTCCTCTGTCTGATGAGCTCCTGCACCCTATGACCTCCTGCACCCTATGACCTCCTGCACCCAATGACCACCTGCACCCAATGACCTCCTGCACCCTATGATCTCCTCTGTCTGATGAGCTCCTGCACCCTATGACCTCGTCCACCCTATGATCTCCTCCACCCTGCCATCTCCCTGTCCGATGACCTCCTCTGCCTCATGACCTCCTCCATCCTACACCCCCTTTCCCCCTACTTCCTCCTCTCATCCCTAACCACGCTCTCCTGCCTGTACCCTCAGTCTGAGGACCTCGGTGCCTGCGCCCAGTTTGAGAACAGCCGGCAGACCAGGAACATGATGCCCAGCGCCAGTTGCGTCTTCCCCACCTTCAACCTCCGCAAACCTTCCTCGGAGACGGACATTGAGAACTGGGCCTCCAAGCACTTCAACAAGCACACGCAGGGGCTCTTCCGCCGGAAGGTGTCCATAGCCAACATGTTGGCGTGGAGCAGCGAGTCCATCAAGAAGCCCATGATCATGACCAACGACCGCAACGTCAAGAAGGAGGCGTGTGAGATCTTCAAGCTCATCCAGATGTACATGGGCGACCGGCGAGCCAAGACGGACCAACTCAACGTGGCCTTGGAGATCGCCACCAAAGGGTGGAGCATGCAGGGCCTGAGGGATGAGCTCTACATCCAGCTGTGCAGGCAGACCACCGAGAACTTCCGATACGAGAGCCTGGCGCGCGGCTGGGAGCTCATGGCCATTTGTTTGGCCTTTTTCCCACCCACTCCCAAATTCCATTCCTATCTCGAAGGATATATTTACAGGCACATGGATCCGGTGAATGACACCAAAGGTAAGAGGGATCCCAATGCTTTGGGGCTCACCTGCTGCTGTCGCGACCCGGTTTTGGGTTTTTTTGGCCCTTCACGCACGTTGTGTCCTTGGTGAAAAGTGGCACAGTGTGCCCAGAGGCTGTGAGGTGGCACCAACCCCATCACACAGCATGAGATGAACGTGGACGCCTCCACTTATGGGGCCGGCTCGGTTTTGGGTGACCTCACGGTCCAATTTTGCCACCCTGCTCTGTAAACTGGGCTCTGGGATGACCACATCTTGGAGGTCCACCAAGTCCGTTGCCTCTTCTTGTGGATGGTGCCCAGTGGGGTCGCAGCATCTTAGAGGGATGGAGGTTCATGGCATCTCAGGGTCTGTCTGGTCCAACATCCCCGCTGTGACAGGGGCACCCAGGGACACTCTGCCCCGTGGCCGAGCAGGGCTGAAGATCCCCAGGAGATCCCTGGTGGCTTTGTGCCCTGGTGGCCTGTTCTCCTGGTGGCCTTGTGGTCTGGTAGCCTGGCGGCCTGGTTTGCTGATGGCATTGTGCTCTGGTGGCCTGGTCCCCTGGTGACCTCGTGGCCTGGTCCC